ATTTGACCAGGGTTTGATTAGTTGGCTTATGGGGTACCTTGAAGGGTTGGGAACTTATGGGTATGATTATACTATGGTAATATGTGGTGGAGTTTGTGGCAGTGATCCGAGGGTTGAAGTTTATCTACCGAGTCGACATCTGCAAGGTGAGTTATCCTCACTATATCGATAGGGTCTAAGGCACCAAGGCCGACCCTTTAGTTGTTATCGTTATGGCATGCTACATGTGGATATGATCTGTTAGATCGGAATCAGGATAGACAGTATGTTATGATCTTATGATCCGTAGGGATTAATATGTTAGTGACCTGCTAGGTCAGTGCTCTAGTTACGAGAGATTGCTATGTTTGGTGATCAGTGAGATAGATATGTTTGATGTTTGTATATGCCAGTATATGATAGTTATGCGCACATGGTTAATTGCTTGTTGCTTGGGTTGAGGCGGTCCTGCTTTGTGATGAAGGCCAACAAACCCTATGAGCGGTCCAGGGAGACTGTAGGCCCACGTGGCGGTCCAGTCATGCCGAAGGCTCGGTATAGATTCAGTTGGACTATAGGTCCTGTAGGGCGGTCCAGTCAGGCCGACGGCCCAGTATGCATGTTGATTGATTGATTATTACGGATATGGTATTAACAGTGTGGTATTGGTATTTTTGGGGTAGCTCACTAAGCCCTCGGGCTTACAGTTTTCAGTTTATTGTTTCAGGTACTTCAGGAGATCATGGCAAGGCGAAGGCGTGACCGTACCGCTCCTCATCCTTATGATCTGGCTTTTGGGACACTTTGATTGAATAATGATTTGAAAACATTTTTGTAAACAATACTATTGGGTTTTATTTATGCTTGAAAATTTTAAATTTGGCGTAAAATTTATGGGTGTTACATTGTATGTATTAGGGGCATGTACAAGTTGACTTGGGTCGGTTTTGAGGTGAAAGCAACCTAAACCGATAATTTTGGTTTATGGGTTTTGAAACCTATTGGGTTTAGTTTTTTGGTTCATGGGTTGATTTCTTTAGTTTTCAGGTTCAACCCGTGGGTTGACGAATTTTGGGTTTCAACCTATATTCCAACAATTCTAAATAAAATAACACAAATTCAATATGTCATTGTTTTCCTTGCGTCGAGACTTAAGAGCCTGTAGATGACATAAGTGAGCCTTTATCTTGCTTGCGTTTTATTCACATATCAACTAGACGGTTTACTGACTTAGGGATAGGGTCCGTGTCATCGTGATGCAATTGTGTTCGCGCTTATGAGAGGCTGAGAGAGTGAGATGAGAGGAGTGTTCGTAAAGAACGAGGTTAGGGTTTTGACACTTTTCTATATTTATTATGTTAATAAAACATATAAAATTTATTTAAAATATAGTAAGTAATTAAATAATTAATAATATGTATACTTGGTCGGTTTCTTGGGTTTAGGTCGGTTTTAAACCTAGTGGATTGGTTATATTTTAGTGGGTCGGTTTTTAACCCAAATAGATTTTTTCGATTTCAAAAATCTAAACCCAAAACCGATGGTTTGGGTTCGGTTTCGGTTTTGGTTTTGCTCGGCCATCGTATGTTTGTCCATGAAATTAGACAAAAGTTGTTATGCGTATCTCGGTTTTGAATATCTAATTAGTTTTGATAGACAATGTTGGTAATCATATGACACTTCAAGTGATGCAAGTAGTTCTTCTACATTATACATATAAATGACTTGATCACCTCACATGTATTGACCTCAACATGCATTTAGGCAATTTGTGTAGCACCCGATTCCTGGTACGTATTTAAATTCAAGAAAATATTGCAATTTACTCTGGGACTCGGCGAGTTAGAGGCCCAACTCATCGAGTAGACTCGACTTTGATCGGGGGTTTAAGTAACCTACTCGACGAGTCGGAAGACCGACTCGACGAGTAGGAGCTGTCTGGACAAAACCCTAATATTTAGGGTTTGCACCCTATTTAAACAACTTTTCTTACCTCAACCCAGCCTCCATCGTTCCTCCCAACCCAGAGAAACCCTAACTCGAAACCCTAAGCCATTATTGAGTGTTCTTGAGATTTTTGGTGCCTTTTGTGTGTATTAGAAGTTGAAGAAAAAGAAGAAAGCTTGGAAGTTCAAGTGGAAGTTAGTAGATCCAGAGGTTGTGCCCTAATTCCAGCTCACTTGAGGTATAAAGCTGAAACCTTGACTATTCTTTGCTTAGATCTTGATTTGGGGCTATTTTCTACATTTTCCTAAGCCTTAGTGAAGCTATAGTCGGAATTGTGTGCATAAGTGGGTTTGTGCTTCAGATCTAGAACCATTGAGGGTTCCCATGGCATAAAGGTGCAAACTTTATGGCCATGGGAGACCCATGCTTCATATATATATATATATATATATATATATATATATATATATATATATATATATACCTTTTTGAGCCAAAAACCCCATGCATGGACATCAAGATTGGAACTTTACGTACGAAATGGACCCTAGGAGGTCAGATCTATGGTTTTGATGCATTAAGACCCATTGTAATCGACTGTATAGTTTTGGACAAAGAGGGACTCGACGAGTCACTTGGGTGACTCGGCGAGTCGGGACGCTTTTTCCCCCAAAACGTCTTCTAGAAATGGTTTAGATTGAGTGGAAGGAACACTCAGCCTGCTAGGGGTTTATCTTGGACCTGGAAATCATAGGACTCGACGAGTGTATGAAGAGACTCGGCGAGTCCAAGGCAATCTCCCAACTCATGAAGCTGGACTCGACGAGTTGTTCATACAACTCGGCGAGACATAGACTGAACACGTTCATATGAGGGAGATGAACTCGACGAGTTCAAGGATGAACTCGGCGAGTCGGTTGAAGATAGTCCCGATGTTATGCGTGAAGAAGGACCCGTCGAGTGGTTGCTGGACTCGGCAGGTAGAATCGGGGTTTTAACATTTTATGGAAAAGGGGACTCGACGAGTTGGCGGGCCAACTCGGCGAGTCGAGTCAACTGGATGTTGACTTTGACCAGGGTTTGACCTTGACTATTGGCTTGGACTTGGGTTGACTCTTGTAAGAGGGTTTTGATTATGAATTAGTAATCGAGAAGGGTTGTTGTGTAGGGATTGAAGAGTTGAGACGAGCTAATTTCCGCGCCGAGGATCGTGCTGACACTACACGACATCAAGGTGAGTCTCGTCACTGTTTGTATGGGTCTACGGCCACAATACCGGCCCATTTAGTTTATGTATGGTAGGAAGACCCGGGGGTTAGCCCTAGGCATTATGCATGAAAGACCAGGAGGAGGCTCCTGGCATACAGTATATTATTATGTATGGTAGGAAGACCCGAGCGTTAGCCCTAGGCATTATGCATGAAAGACCAGGAGGAGGCTCCTGACACACAATATGTTATTATGTATGGTAGGAAGACCCGGGGGTTAGCCCTAGGCAACATGTATGAAAGACCAGGAGGTGGCTCCTGGCACACTGTATGCTGAGTAGCCTAGTAGAGTAGTATGTGTAGTTGTCTTTGTGTTGCTTGCATGGAAGACCAGGGGGTGGCCCTTGGCACTTGTCTGTAAGACCCAGGGAGTGGCCCTAGGCTTGACAATAAAGACCACGTGCGTCCCGTGGCAATACAGTAAGACTATGTTTGGCACATAGCACCTTACTTGATTATGGATATGTTTGTTATGTATGGCTCATGGTAACGTATGACATGTATGGATCAGTTGATATGTATGGTATGTGGTATCTGGGGAACTCACTAAGCTTTGTGCTTACGGCTTTCAGCTATTTGTTTCAGGTACTAATGTTTTCCCAAGGAAGGAGCTCGAGACGATCGCAACGCATCACACCATGTTTTCCGCACTAGATGATCTTTGGGATTTAAAACTCTGATAATTGTTTTATTAAGAATGTTATTAAATGATTGAGCAAGATTTACTAAGCGGTTTTTAATTAATCAAAACGAAATTTTTAGTCTTGAATTTTGGGACGTTACAATTTGTTTATTTTTAATGTGTACGTACAGTTAATGTTTTCAAGCATTCCAGGAAAATCATGTTCGACTTGATCTGACGCGTACATCTGTTCAATATTAGTATACCTAGGTCCCAACAAATATTTTTTAGTCATAAAGTTCGAATTGTTTAAGGTATTACCGATGTCGACATCAAAAACTACTTTCTAGCCACAGATTCCCTCGATGATCCATGTATTCATCGGTTTCAAATAAACCTCTACATATAATATTGATATTAGATTATAAATAAATAAAAAACAAATATTATCAATAAATGAGTTTAAATCAGTTTGGTATTTTAAACTCTAACCAACTCATTTAAACTTTAACTAAAGATACAAATAGGTTGATCCGCTTGACTTGATTAAACAGGTAGAAATTTCAACTCTAACCGTAAAATAGATTATATATATATATATATATATATATATATATATATATATATATATATATATTATATATATATATATATTAAAATTCTCCTACCTTAGCTACAGTGAAGTTCCCAGGCATTTGTCAGATTTGGTCCTCAGTCTTTGTCTGTTTTTACAATGCTAGCCTGTTTCTTTTAGAGGGTATATTTTGCAATTTTCTATATTGTTTTTCCACGTATTGATTTCTCTTTCTTTCACCGTTTTTCTTGACCAATAGGGACTTCATTTCTGTTACTCGATTTCGTTATCTGTGTTTTTTTCTCTTTCTTTCACCGTTCCTCTTCCATTTGTTTCTTTCGCTTTCTTCTCTTAATAACCGACTCAAACAGACCGATCATCTTCTCACATTTGCTTCATCGTCTTCTTCTTCCAATCAACCTCTTCTAGCATCTCCACAACGTCTCTTCCGCTGCACCGCCTGTATACCAGCACCGTCTGTTCCCCGTCTTCATCTTCTCTGTCTCTCGGTAAATATCCTTTCGTTCATAGAGGCTTCACTTTCTTCTTGCTTCTCACCGCCTAATCTTCTCCACCTAATCGCCGCCGATTTCATACATCATTTTATGGAATGACCATCGGGGTTCAGCTCACCGCCTCTATCTTCGACAAAATGACTGAAGCGATGCTCTGTAACCATATATATGTTGTGCCTTTTTCTATCTTCTTTTCTTTCTCTGAAATATTTCCCTGTGGTGTGTGGTCACTAGAAAAAAGAAGAAGAAGAAGGCAGATGTCGATGGTGGCGTCGCCGATCACCAGAAAGTGCAGGGGGGTCGTCCATCCGGTGGCTATCAGAGGCATCTGATCATCATTTATTCTCTCACACAATCACACGTACGACCGGAGGCATAGACCAATCAGATCGTCGACTGATATGTCGACGTGTTACCTAATACATGTGTGAAGGAGAAGAAGCGATTTTGTTTCCATTTGAGTTTGATTTACGTGTCCATCTTCACTAACGATTTGCGATTTGGGGATAATTACGACTGATTTTTTCTTTTCCGTTTAGTTCGTTACCAATTTATCGATCGGATATGGCTATTGAACCCTAACCCTCCTTCTTTCATTCAATTTTCTTCTGCTTCTTATGATTTAAATCAATATGGCTTAAAATTTGTTATTTGATTTTCCTTTTTTGTGTTTGTAGGTTTCAAAGAATTCCAAGTTGATCAGGAAAATGGGAATGAGTACGGTATTATTGCTTAACTAAAACTAAGTGTATGCTCTTCCCAAGTGTATGCTCTGAATTCAAATCTGAACTTTGATCCAGATTGGATTGATTGAATTCTTCTGAAATTCTATTTGATTTTATAAAAGAATCTTAATAATTCATGTTTCATGTATGATAATAGGAGCATCTGCATCATCGTTTTGGTACAATCTAAGAGTACAACATCCTTGCAGGGAAGTACCAATTCTGGACTATGATTTAGCCCTATTGTTTCAGCCTATGCTCATGCTTAGAATCACATTTGGTGTTGCTCTTAGTGTCGTTTTTCCCTATTGGCTCATCACTGTTCTCATCATCATCCTCTTCTTAGGTATCCTTTGTTTTTACTGTTCATACTTTTTGTTTGTTCTTATTTTACAATTTGTTATATGTGCATCTTGAATTGAATAATCTTCTATTGCTTAACTAAAATTAATAAAAACTACTAGTGTTTATCTGTATGTTATTGTCAAGTAGGTTTAGACCAAGGTATTTTATATGATGTTTAGGTATTAAATTATTAATTTATACAAGTAGATGTCACATATGTGATGTGGATCTGTTCATTGACTTGAAGACCAATGATTGCTCTTTCATGAGATTCTTTTATTCTTACATTATTAGGGATTACTTTTAATTTTTTACCAATGATTAAAATTTTGCCAATATTTGTTGATAGGAACATCTTCAAGGTCTTTCTTTAGGGGAATTGAGATGTGGAAAGAAGAGTCTAATACTAAAGGTGAAAGTTTTTAGCTTTTTTATATACTTTTAGTTATTATTACAACTATTCAATCTCATATACATAACTTTTTTTACTGAATGCATAAACAAATGGCAAGGCCACGAGAAACATTTGCCAATTCTCGAGGCGAACGTGAGTTTTGCTATGATCTTTTATATTTAACATTTTAATAAAAGTGATTATATTTATAAAATATGGTCATTTTTTTATTATTATACCATTATTCATTTCAATAACCTTTTTTTACAGTTCTGATCGACACATTCGTAGAGAAGAGAAAACTCCAATGGTGAGCATCCTCTTTTCCTCATCTTCCATTTGACGCAATGGATTTTTTTTTAAATAAAAAGTTATTATATATAATTTGACTCTATATATTCACATTTAATAAAATCATGTATTTTGTCGTTTAGATATGACAACGAAGAACCGAACAAACTGCAACAATATTTCTGCTGTTGCTACATACATTTTGTAAGTATGCCATGGGTTAGATGATGTTGGAATGTGGTAAGGAAATGCAAACCCTTCGCTTTTTTTTCAATATTTTCAATAATCTTTGCTTTTTTATTTGAAGATTTTCATATTCGCTGCATTTAAACACATACATTACACATTCGTCATCGACATTCTTTCAAATAGTAAAAAAAACTCAATTTTCAAAGTGATAAGCAAAAAAAAAGTTGCCGGTATGTTTCAAAAATAAACAACCCAACAAAATTACATTATTATATATCATGTATTTATCAACACCAGTTTAGCCCGATCCTAATAACATATTTCAATACAGTACAAAAAAAAATTCACTTTCCTTATTTTAATGCAATTGTTTATTGCGAGAAATAGCAACGTACTTAACCTCTATGCTTTAATTTTTACCCATAATATTGGTAATAGAAAGTTTTAACCTTTTGGTTTTTTCTTTGTTATGTGGCATGAGATCAAATGGTCAATGTTTGTATGCAAAAGATTGGATGTTCATTTGCTTCTGCAAGGAGGCTGAAGAGAAGTTATTGTTGGACAATATTGTAATGGTCACTTCCATTTAGCATATTCTCATATCTTTTCATTAAATAAAGTTCATTGCTTGTAATCGTTCAGAAGTTAATAATAATAATTCATATGATTCGATGATCCATGTGTTGTTTCTTCTGTTATGGCTTCAATAAACTACCTATTATGACTTTTGTTGTAGGGCACTCTAAAAACTACAAAGATTATAGTTCTCATTTGTTATGACAAGTTCTCTCACTGTGGGTGAGCAAACAAATTTCACTAAATTAACGTTTCCTTTACAATCCAGCCTATACCACAAAATAAAAAAAAATTAAAAATAAATAAAAGTCACTTGGGGCTTGATTAGGTGGAGGATTGGAGGTTGTTGTGGTATGTTTAACTTTATTTTTCTCTGTTTTTAGATTTTCTTAATGATTTTTATTAAGTTTTTTTGTAAATACAGTAAATAGCAACGTACTTTGAATTTTCATGTTTTTTCCCCTGTTTTTTGTATTTTCTATTTTTAAGACTAAAATGCCCTAAATAGCAATGTACTTTGAAGTTGGACCTATTTTTTCCTGTTTTTTACATTGTCATTTGGTGACTTCTCCACTTTTAGGATATAAATGCAGTAAATAATAGGCAGGGTTTGCCTTTTTGGTTAATTTGTATATGAATGAGTTGATTTTATTTATATTTTATCTATAATGAGTAAACAAGGAAAATAAAAATTATTTGGCCAAATTAGGTCAAATGGGTTAGCAGTCATTTCCTATTGATAGTTATTACAAACAACAAGTCAACGTTCAAAATTGTGCTACTGAACATATTCAGGTACTAGACGGTAATGTTTCAGAAAAAATTGTAAGTTTCTTTTATAGTATGGTACTTTCAGCTTTTCATTATTAAAATATTACATTTTTAAAAATGAAAATAGGATGCTATATAAAAAAATCAGCATAAGTACGTTGCTATTTATCACATTTATTTTTAACCTTTCACTTTAATTGTATGAATTCACGTTGACAAATACAGTTGGCGAGATCTTCAAAGGGTTAAGATGTTATATTGGCGAACCTTTAGAACCTATCATTCATATGTGAGGAACTTCTGGGCATATCACTTTGAAAGGTTTTGTCTATTTTCCTTTCTTTCTATTTCTGTTCACTTGCATTTTTATTCCTATAATTTGGTTCATTCAATTCATGGTTATAGATTCAATCCCTCTGATTGATCAATGGTAAAAAAATTATGAATTGGATGGATTACAAAGAGTTAGAAGTTGGAACAATAGTTTCTATTATTTTGTTGTCGTCTTTGTTTTTTTGGGACTTCTTTTACTCGGTTTTTTTTACTATCAGTGTATGATTTGTTTCAGAATGTTGTATGGAGAAATGGATTCTTAGTCTACCATCATGATGAGATTTTGCATTTTGCTTATGGGTTTCGTTTTGCCTTTCTTTGTTGCAGGTCTAATTTCGTTTGGTGTCTTCTCTGGTGATACGGTGGTAGTTGCCGACAAGGGTGAAGACGGTAGAGGTCATATTTGGATACAAAAGTAGTAGTATGCATACGCAACATCTCACTCTTTGTGCCGAGGGCCATTTCATGCTGTTTCATTACTTCACCATGTTGACTATTCTTTTATTTAAGGAAAAACAATTAAGGAACTTGATTCGTTTGCAATCAACCGATGACCACATATTGTCCATGTCAACTGCTAATAGTCCTTATAGGTATGTTATATTTGTAAGCTTTGTTATATTTTGTATCTTCACTTGCTAATAATTTCTCCATTTTAGTTTTTTTTTTGGGTTTCTTAATCATAAAAATACTCGAGATTCTAAAATAGTGGAATTTCGTTTGCAAGTAATGCAGATGGTATTGGAGATGTTAGAAAGAAATAGTTTTATAGGGATTTTGCAATCTTAAGATGATATATTTGTTAATACTTTTTTTTTTTGTAAATAAAGAATTAATAATTTTTTTTTGTTAATAGTAGAGTTAACATGTGCATCGTGTTTACCGTTTACATATAATACACAAAATTCGTAGCTGATTGATTGTGTGGAGGTGGACAAGATATAATCGAGTGATGTTGTTGATAAGGTACTACAAATACAATATCTACTTTCATAAATACGATTCCTTTTTCCACTCTTCATATCCTGAAAAGTTTGTTGTTGTTGTTGTTTACAGAAATGCAAACAGAAGTCCAAAGGTGGTAAGTATTATGAGTTCTTTCATAATACAAGATCAGTGAAACCTACAATCCTTCATTTTCAGGTTACTACATATGATACATCATTACCTTTTGTTTCTATGAGATTGATATTACCAAAATAGCCCTAAGATTTTCTATGGTAGACAGCTAAGAAATGGCAGACTCTACTAGAAGATGCCCCAGACCAACTGCCATACAAGCAACTTATAATCACCAACAACCTGATCGCCGACCTCGACAAAGACACATATGCTTGGTATGTTCGACATGATGCAGGAAAACATGCCAGCAGCGATCGACATATGCAACAAAATCGTCACAGACCACCCAACAACATAACCAACCAACATCATCTGCTTTTGCCACCAGTTACCCATCTAACATCCTTGCTAATGTATGCAGAATGTATGTAATCTAATATCATGTAATCACCTGCAAATGAACGGATGTCTTTTGATCCATATTCTGTCGCACACTTCATATGTTCAATATAAACGAAAACATATAACAACCAATAGCAAGATCCAAATCCGAAACCAAACGTTCTCTCTCACTATCCGTTTTTTCAAAAACCTAATAAAAGCTTCACTGAATCATGTGAGCTAAATTTGGTAAATGAAAAATCAAACGGTTCTTTGTTGTTTTTATATTTTGAGAACATATTAGTTACTTTTAATTGTAGTCAAATATTTGTAGCAATTATGCTTTTTTTTGGAGGAGATTTTGACACATCTTCCCCTTCAAAAGAATTTAGAAATGACTTCAGAACTTAACTATTACTCAACATAGGTCTTCTTTACGTGCATATCACGTCATTCTGAAAACGACATTGAAAGTTTCTAACCCCTGCGTAGTGGGGGACACCTTTCTAGTTAGAAATTAAAAAAAAATTAAAATTAAAATTAAAATTAAAACTAAAACTAAGTCAAGAGGAGTAGAAACTTTTTTAGTTTTTATAGTTTTATTTTATACATAACTAATATATCTACAAAATGAATAAAGATACTTTAGAAGCTTGTAGATACAAATTATTTGACTTATCTGATATCTTTTTAAATCGTGTTTTCTACTTTATTTATTTGACTCATTGCTTAGTAACATATAACGACTTTGTTTACGTCTTGTTAAAAAATTTGTATTTTATATCACTTATATCATTTTCTCTTATATATTAAATCCATTAATAAGTATGATTTGAAACAACCATCATTTTTTTTTTGTTAAGACAAACAAAAGGTAAATTATAAATTATGAAATTTGACATACGTCATTTCTTTTGAAAATGACTTTGCATACAACTTTTACCTATGTTTAGTGTTAACTGTTACGTCTTTTAGAACTAATGAACCATATGCTTTAAGTGAGTCTTATATGAGTAAATTCTCCATTATCAAACTAACTAATAAAATAATTCATATAACTCTTTTTTCAAAACAAGAGGAATAATTTTATTGCAAAATTGAGAAGAGAAAACAAAAAGATAAAATATAAGCGGTCATTTAAATCAATATGATTCAAAATAGTCATCTATCTTGAACCATATTCATTTGAAACTCTTAAATATCTTCAACTTACGTAAGTTAATTGAAATATTTTACATATATAATAACATTATTTATTAGGGAAATGTCCATTATTTTGGATAAAAATTAACGATTAAATCCTAAAAAAAAAAATTGAATAGAAAAACTCAAGAAAGTGACAAATTTTTTCACTTTAGCCTCTTTTGACCAGTTCAGCAAGTCATGAAACCAAATCGTCAAATTAAAAAAAAAAAAAAACGAGACTTTTCTACTGATTTCTTCAAAGAAATTTTATATTGTATAATCGTATATTTATGTATTTATATGTATTTTTAAATATTTTTAAATATTTTTTATGTATTTATGTGTTTTTTTTAAGTTTTTTAATTTTTTTATAGCGTTTTTTTTATGTTTTTATGTATTTAAAATGTATAAACATATTTTTTACGTATTTATATAAATTTCAAAGTATTTTACATATATTTATGTATTTTGGTATATTTTTCACACATTTATGTATATTTTAAAGTTTTTATATAGTTTTTTTACATATTTTTATGTATTTTAAATGTATAAACATATTTTTTATGTATTCATATGTATTTTTCAAATATTTTTATGTATTTTGGTATATTGTTTTTACGTATTTATGTGTTTTTTTACTTCAAGTTTCATTATAATTTAACTATTAGACCTTGTAAATGAAGAAAAAAAATCACTATAGTACTTCAAAACAAACATTTTTCAAAGACGATCCTTAGCAATCAACGTCATTTTTGCAGATAAATTCTCCCATTTTTTCTTGAATTTGGTTTGTAGATAAACAAAGTTTATAAACATCTTTGTTGTTACTAAAGATATTCGTAAATTATGTTCATCTACAAACTGAATTCAAGAAAAATGGGAGAATTTACCTGCAAAAATGACTCATGCATAAAATATAAAACTATGTTAACACATTTACATTTAAAGATACATTTACATTTTGGATTAAGTTGTGAGTTGTGACTAACCACTTTCAGTGCCGCTGTGTTCAGATATGATGATGTCATTAAATCCCTCTCCTAATTCCTGCAAAGATCTAGCTAAAGCTTCATCAATGGCTTCCTGTGTCATGGCACCTTCATGCCTTGAACATTCACATTCTTCTTCTTCTTGTAATAAATGACACAAATAGATGATGTAATCATAAATAGCAACCACTTTCTTGTTCTTGTCACCTTCTTGAAATGATTTATACATGATTTCCTACATCATTCTCAACGGAATACCAAATATGAATGTTAGTTTAATCTAAGTACTAAGTTTTTATCTTGATTTTGGAATTACCTGTTGCAAAAGAGCATCTTCATAACTAAGAACATCATCATCTTGAGAAAACTCTTTTAAAATTTCGGGTATATCATCTGGAAATCTAGAATTCAAATAATAATTATGAAGGTCCATGCTTCTGCTCATGGATCTGGTTATATGTTAAATAAAACACAAGGATCATTTAAAAGGGTTCCAATTTATACACCAAAAAACAAAATTGATGAGTGAGAACAGAAAAGTGATATGATATGATATGATATGATATAAGTAAATTACCAAAAATAGTTAAAATATGTGCCTATGCTTACTAGTGGACTGGTTTGTACACGATTGTGATTGATGAATGAGAGTTATATATATTTGTAGCGGTTTACAACAATAAAGATTCATAATGTCAAATCAGAAAAGTATCATCAATTATATCATAAAGTTGTATATCCCCTTGACATACAACTTGATTAAGTCGCCCCTCTTTGAGCATGATGCGCTCAATAAGGATGTGTTCCACCTTGATCAAGTCGGCCCCCTTTGAGCATGATGTGCCCCATTGGAAGCATGGTGTTCCCCTTGGAGCATGATGCGCCCCCCTTGGAAGCAAGGTGCACCCGAAGTAGCTAAGTGTGCTCGTATAGATATGCCAATGCAAGCTAGGTGCGCTCATATGTATAGGTTTTATAGGTTATAATAATACATGAGGCGAAAACAAGTTAACCCTTAAGTTTACATGCAACTTACTTTGAATCTAAGTTCTCGCTATTGAAAGCAATAAACAATTGAACATCATAAACCCTAAGGCAAGCCTACTATAATCTAAATTACAAGGATTAAGGTTTACATACCTCTTTGATTATTATTGTAAATAATCAATAATTCCTTTCTTCAATTTGCTTGGAAAGCTAACACCAAATTTTTGAATTCGCTTCAAATTATCCCACACAACACTAGCAAACTCAAACTACACAAGTTCATGTTTTTGTCTCATGATTTCACTAGAATTGAGAAGCCACAAATATATTATAACATATTGGTTCAACTAAATTTTAGAATTCACTTCAAATTATCCCACACAACACTAGCAAACTTAGTTCTAACGCGCTAATATCAAAACAAAAAAAATTAAAATTTACTAGATTTTTTATATTTAGACCAATTTTTCAAGTCTTTATTTTTTTCAATTTTTTTTTTTCAATCTAACATATATTTTTTAAAAATCTAGCATGCTTGTCGTATTTTTTCCAATCCTCATACCCCACACTTAAATTATACAATGCCCTCATTGTATATAATAACAATTAAAGCATATAAAATCAAATAGGGAGAAAAGGAACAAACTCACCTTGGGTATATAGTCGCGAGAACGAAATCGACTATAGTGGGTTGCTTCGAAATGTGTGTTGGAATGATGATGCTTTGGATTTTACCGGAAACTGAAAACTAGAACTACTTTACTTTTCTGCTCGATTGTAACATCCCTATTTTTTACGGCCAGAAAAGACCGATTTCGTTTATGCTTTTTAATAAAAATCAGAATAACTTCTTAAGAAAAGTATTGCGGAATTTGTTCCCAAAACAAAATATGATATAAATTTTATCAAAGCATTTCTTAAAGAAATGTATTCACATTACATTACAAAAACTCGGGATGTCAATCATCGATACAGACCATAAGCATAAACTAAAAAGAAATAAACATCTTAGGCCACAAAACACTATCTGACCTCAAATCCGTAATCTCTCGTCAAATTATCCAACTATGCTTTTGCCACTACCTATAATACAAGAAACTGAGTGGGTCAAGCTGAGGAGCCTGGTGAGCATATAGGGTTTTCAACCCAAAATAATAAGTTTATTATTTATTTTCATCAAATTACTAACCCGATTACCCGTTCCCGTTATCCTCACTTTATGTCCCTAGAGCATCTATTATAAGGGACCTATCCTAAGGAATTTCATCGGGATGGACACTACTGCTAAGGGGGTTCCTCAGCCATATGTGTCCGTAAGGCAACCATGGGGGGATGGAGTACACCGGTGAACACTTCGTTCACAAACACCTACAGGTTGCGAGCCTGCTAGTGTTCCACTGGACTTCCTAGAAAAGTCTGTGGTCGTCATCCATTCTCCGCTAGATGACTGGAACAACGTCAACATTGAGGCCTTTCATCATTTTATTTCACCACACCAACTATTTTATCTACCCATGTTCTACCCAACATATTCGTAGATATAAAATACATACATGGTCCAGATCTGTAAAATAAAGCTTACATCTTTTATCCAGCATAACTTTTAAAGCATAAAATACATATATAGTCCAAATCTGAAGGAAAGAGGTTCAGATCTTTCATCCAACATAGATCTCAAAGTATACAGTTTAGATCTAAAGAAAAAGTTTAGATCTGAGATGAGAAAGTGTAGATCTGAAGGAAAAAGTTTCAGATCTGAAAGAAATGTAACGCTCGTAGATCAGGGCTAGTCAATTTAGAGACAAGGAACATCAAAAATGACTTTTTGATAGAAGATTATTTAGAATAAATAATCTTAACTAAGTTGTAGTGGTCGTGACAAGGATTTCG